GTATGATGAAAGCACCATGAAATGTAGGTTTGTGCTCCCAGCGCAGATCTCCGGAGTTAGGTATTCAACAGTCCCAAGCCTTCCACTCCCTCCCTGCTCAGTTTCTCTTCCTCCCACCAGTGAGCTGGGATGGGGTGGGGGAAGGGCTCTGGTCCTGCCAAGCCACAGCTCTGGTATGATACCCCATTTGGTGAGGTCTGCTCTTTTCTCCAGGTGTATGCAGTCTGCCGCCATCCTCTTTCCTGTTGCTCTCTCAGGATTAGTTGCGCCAACTATATTTTCTAATTGTATTCAGTTTTAGGAGGAAGCCTCTGTCTCTCCTCTCATGCTGCCATCTTTAATCCCACCTGTGTATGTTTTTAAAAAGCCTCTCAGGTGAGTCTATTGGATAGCCAGAGTTGACAAACCCTAGGCTTCTGTGGTTTCCCAGTACCTGCCAGTCCCTTCCTGGCCTTGGCCCAGTTTGTTTTCTGTTCTGGCTTAGCAGGCTTTGTCTTCTCTCCCTAGTGGGTGAGCTCTCTTTGTATAATTTATATCTTTTTTCATACCTTTATCACAGAGAAGCTGGTTGGTACAATTTCAGTCTTTCTGGATTTACTGAAGCTGCTTTTTGTGTTCTAGTATGTGATCTATTCTGGAAAATGTTCCATGTGCACTTGAGAAGAATTGTGTATCCTGTTGCTTTTGGGTGGAGTGTTCTGTAGTTGTATGTTAGGTCCATCTTTTCAAGTGTGTTGTTCAGTGCTTCTGTCTCCTTACTTATTTTCTGTCTGGTTGATCTGTCCTTTGGAGTGAATGGTGTGTTAAATTCTCCTAAAATGAATGCATTGCATTGTATTTTCATCTTTACTTCTGGTAGTATTTGTTGCACATATTTGGGTGCTCGTATGTTGGATGCATAGATATTTATAATGGTTATATTCTCTTATTGGACTGACCCCTTGATCATTATGTAATGTCCTTCTTTGTCTCTTGTTACTTTCTTTGTTTTGAGGTCTATTTTGCCTGATATGAGTACTGCAACTCCTTTTTTCTCCCTATTATTTGCATGAAATATCTTTTTCCATACCTTAACTTTAAGTCTGTGTATGTCTTTGTGTTTGAAGTGAGTGTCTTGTAGGCAGCATATAGATGCATCATTTTTTTAACCATTCTGTAACTCTTTGTCTTTTGATTGGTACATTCAGTCCATTTACATTTAGAGCAATTATCAATAGGTATGTACTTATTGCCTTTGAAGGCTTTAGATTCATGGTTAACAAAGGTTCAAGGATAATTTCTTTGCTACCTAAGAGTCTACCTTAACTCACTTATTAAGCTAATTCAAACACAATCTAAAGGTTTTTTTTCTCCCCTCTTTTTCTTCTTCCTCCACTCTCTATATATTAGGTGTCATACTCTGTATTCTTTGTGTATGCCTTGACTGATTTTGTGGGTAGTTGATTTAGTTTTGCATTTCCATAGTAATTATTTGGTGTATTTCTTTTACTGTGGTTTTATTTTCTTTACTGACAGCTATTTAGCCTTAGGAGCACTTCCATCTAGAGCAGTCCATTTAAAATACACTGTAGAGATGGTTTGTGGGAGGTAAATTCCCTCAACTTTTGCTTATCTGGAAATTGTTTAATTCTCATCAAATTTAAGTGATAATCTAGCTGGGTAGAGTATTCTTGTTTCAAGGCCCATCTGTTTCATTGCATTATATGTATCATGCCACTCCCTTCTGGCCTGCAAGGTTTCTAATGGGAAGTATGATGATAGCCTGATGGGTTTTCCTTTGTGTGTGTTCTTTTTTCTCTCTGGCTGCTTTTAATACTCTCTCCTTGTCCTTGATCTTTGACATTTAATTATTATATATCTCAGTGTTATCTTCATAGGGTGATTTGCGTTTTGAGATGTATTGACTTTCATGGCCTGAGAGATTATTTCCTTCCACAGATTTGGGAAGATTTCATCAATTATTTCCTCAAAGAGACTTTTCATCCCTTTTTTTCTCTCTTCTTCTTATGGCACCCCTATAATGTGAATATTGTTACATTTGGATTGATAGCATAGTTCTCTTATTATTCTCATTCTTAGAAATCCTTTTTTCTCTGTGCATTTGCTTCTTTGTAGTCCTGTTCTCTAATTTGTATTTCATTTACTGTCTCCTCTACCTCATCTAATTTGCCTTTTAATCCCTCCATTGTACGTTTCATTTCAGTTACTGTATTTTTCACTTTCTATCTCTTTATTGAAGTCCTCCCTAAGATCTTGAATATATTTATGTAGCTCTGTGAGCATGTTTATGATTTTTATTTGAAATCTTTATTGAGGAGATTGTTGATTTCAGTTTCACTTAGCCTTCTTTAGGATGTTTGAGGGATTTTGATTTGTGTCAGGTTCCTTTGCTTTTTAAAATTTATAATGATTGCTATGGAATAATAACTTTGTGTAGGCAGCATCCTCTAGTGCCCAGAAGCTCTACTCTCTGAAGCTGGAGCAATGGTGGAGGTTTCAGGGGAATGGTACTTGTGCCTGCCAGGGGGTATAAGATCTTTCCTGCTTCCTGGCTGCAGTACCTGCCTTCATTGCCAGGGCCAGTGGGCCGAGCTTGCAGGGAGGAACCTCTGCATTATGCCCTTGTAGCTTCCATAGGTGTCACCACCCTCAAGGTGGCCTGGTGTGCTGGTGAGGGCAGCAGGTTTGCAAACTGGTGCTGGCTGTGAGGAAGGAGTGGCAGGCTGCATATCACAGTGGAGGGCCTCAGTGCTGTGTTGCCAGCCAGGGGGATGGAGCATCTGAAGCTCTTGAAATTTCCCAACCTGCTGGGCTGAGTGTGCTGGGATGGTTTTGTCCACCTGTCCTTTCTCCTAAGTAGCAAGCTCTGTGTAATCCTTGTCCCTTTAGCACCCCACTCACTGTTGGGAACTCTTTCAAAGTGATCCCTTTCTTTTGTCCTGGAGCAACCAGTTGTGGATACCTGTTCTCCACATGCATCTGGAATCTCAGGCTCTCCAAGTAATCCACCTGTCTTTGTTTTCCAACCCCACTAATCTCCAGAGCACCATGTAATGTGCATTCATGCTCCCAGAGCACAGGGGTCAGTGTTTAGCAGTCTTGGCTTGTACTCTGTTTCTCTTCCTCTCACCTGTGAGCTGTGGTGGCAGGAGGGCCTGGGTCCTTCTAGATTGAGGCTTTGCTATTTTACACTTTCCTTGAGGTTTTGTCTTTTCCCCAGATGTAGGCCATCTACTGCAGTCTTCTTTCTCATCACTCTTTCAGGATTAGTTGTATTTGCTGTATTTTCATGTTATTTGTGGTTTAGGGAGGAGGAAGGGAATTCTTTGGAAAGAATTTCACTGATCCCTTTCTTCACTGTTTTCCTCCCCATTTCCTCTAGTCTGTGTTATGCATCCTTCTGTTGTGCTCTCATATGATATTTCTACAAAAGTTGTAAGGAAACCACTAGTACATGGCCTTACTTCTGCTAAGAGACCATAACATATTCAAAATCAGGCTGTATTCTTTTTTCATTTTGGTATACCAAGGTGTACAGTGTCCAGTATGTAGTAATAACAAATATTGTATTAATTGAATTAAACTGAATATTGTTGAGCACCTCATAGAAATACATTTTTTAAAAGCCTCTGAAGAAATAAAAAAGATGTCATGAAGTCTACAGATCATGTACTTTTATCATAGAAAAACCTCTCATCCTTCCAGGAATCTACTACAAATTCACAAATTTGGGTTTCAAATTTCTTAGTCTAAAGAAAACAGAAGATTGGATAATAGTGGATAAGCACAGTAGAAATGATAAAAAGTACTGGTAGCCCAAAACTGAAGGAGCAAGAAAATCTTGTAAAAACAAATATGGAAGTGAAAGAAAATAAACTTCTACAGGCTGCTAGGAATAGTTGCACCTCAATAGTCCCTGAAGTGCTACACTGTATTACAACTCATGCAAATAATATTGAACCTGAAAACTCAAGCAAAGTTTAAATTCTAAATACAGTTTTAAAAAAGAAAAGAATATATATAAAATGTTTCCACTCATAATAATTAAATTATTAATTCAATTTTTAAATTATTTAGGTTATAACAGTACAAAACTGTGGTTATTTTTACTAGTTATGCTCTATCTAGTTTGTATGCATATAAACTACCATATATGTGTTTATGTAAAACATATATACAAATATGTATCACATATGTGATAATTTATATATATAAAAACTGGTTAAAACTGACCATAATTTTATACTATTAAACATTTAAAAGTGCAGGCATGAGCGAACATTAAATGTACCTATGATGCCAGGAAAACATTCTGGTGTGAGCATTTAAGTAATATAAAGTAGAATTATCTAATTTGAAGTAAAAATTAAGATTTAGGTAATATTCATAATTATGTAATTCTGGATGAGAAAATCCCCACCAGTAATTATTGGTAAGTAAAAAGAACATTGTTGATGTAAAGGATTTGGCTGCCATATACACAACACAAATTTTCATTAAATCCTATTTTTGTTTAGTTTTCTGTATTTTAAAATTTAGTATTTTATTACACCAATATACATAAGCATTTATCTCTCCAATGAACTGTAATATTTACAACTTCAGAATGTAAGGACCCTAAAGTACAGAGACCTGGTGTATTAATTCTTTCATCTATAACAGTAATAGGCAGCTTTTGCTTAACAATGCTGAATTATTGCTACTTGTTTAATAAGTTAATAACTTTAATAAATTAATAAGTTCTACATTATTAAATTTAATGTATTAATACCCATCTGAATATTCACAGAATTTCCAAAAATTAAGTTTCTGTTTGTAATATTCATAATAACATGGATATGCCTATAAATAATAAGAAATCTACATTATCAATGGAGAGGATTCAACCAGTTAATATAGTTATAATTATTTAAAACTTTAAACAACACATAAACATTAAGGTTATCTGCTGTGTCTGTTTCTTACATATTTTTCCATAATATCCAAATAAAAACGCATACCTGTTTCTACAGGTCTTGTATTCTACTTTAAGAATTGGTTTACAAGATTCAGATTTTCTTCCTTCCCTTTGACTTTTTCCTAGAGAAAAAAAAGTATTTTATTAAATGTAATTTGAATTCTACTCACCCAAGACTAAAGGAATATTTTTAAAAATGTAATTAGGACCATAAGTCGGGGAAAGAAGGGAAAGGGGAAACCTTCTTCCATGTACACACCAAGGAAGCAACTATAGCAAATACAACTAACCCTGAAAATGACCTGAAGACTGCAGAACCATCTACACCTGGTGAAGAAGAGAAGACCCATACAGAGAAGGGTAAAGTGGCATACCCCCTATGGATGGATTGATTGGGATCTATGCCATTCTTCCATTGCAGCCCACAAGGGAGAGGGAGAAGACAGATCAGAAAGGGGATAAACAAGCAGGAATCCTGCACACCTGACCCTGGAGATCCGCTCTCGGAACACTAATCCACATTGCACTGGGTTTTGGTGATAGGCAGGGCAGGACAAAGGAGAGCAGGAGTACTCTAGGAGGCTGAGATGGTGGAGAGGTATGCTCTAGTTGGCCCACTGGGACCCAACAAAGAGGTGGCAGTTTGAAAAATTTACCAGCAAATAGAAGTGTGCCTGAGGGCCAGGGATCAGAGGGAGCTCTCCCTGGCAGAGAAAGGGCATGTACACGATGCTTCCCAAAGCCAACCCTCAGCTCAGATGGTTCAGTGCTTGAAGGAGGCAGCCCCAAACACACCAACCCTATCACAGGCAGCTCAGCCCCACAGCATGTTTCCCAGTATACCCACCTACCAGCCCAGCAAAGTAAGCCCAGGAGAGGTCATATTTTGTTGCCTGAAGATGGAGGGAGACTTTGATGCCAGGCAGGCAGAGGGAGGATTTCCCAGCATCACTCTAATACCCAAATCAGACAGAAGCACTATAAAAAAAGGAAACCATAGACCAACATTCCTGATGGAACACAAATGCAAAAATCCTCAACAAAATATTAGCAAAGTGAATTAAATAATACATCAAAATGATCATCCATCATGACCAAGTGGGTCTGATTCCAGTGATGCAAACATAGTACAATATTTGTAAATCATTCAGTGTGATTCACCACATTAACAAAAGAAAGGATAAAAATCCTATGATCATCTCCATAGATGCTGAAAAAGCATTGAGCAAAATTCAACATCCATTCATGATAAAAACTCTAAAAAAATGTGTATAGAGGGAACGTACCTCAACATAACAAAGATCGTATATGACAAACCTACACTAATATAATACTCAAAGGCAAAAAGCTTAAAGTTTTTATTCCAAAGTCAGGAACAAGACAAGGATGTCTTACCACTTTTATTCAATATAGTACTGGAGGTCCTAGCCATGGCAATAAGACAACACAAAGATAAAAGGCATCAAAATTCATAAGAAAGAAGTAAGCTCATTATTTGCAGATGACATGATATTATATATAGAAAACCCTAAAGATTCCACCAAAAAGCCATTACAACTAATAACTGGATTCTTCAAAGTTGCAAGCTACAAAATCAATATATGGCAATCTGTTCCATTCCTATATATATACTAACAATGAACTAGTAAAAAGAGAAATCAGGAAAACAATTTCATTTACAATTGCATCCAAAAGAAAAAAAATACCTAGGAATAAACCAACCAAGGAGGTGAAAGACCTATACTCTGAAAGCTAAGGCACTGAAATGAGAAATTAAGAAGATACAAATAAATGGAAATAGATCCATAGATAAGAATTCATATGGTCATAGATATGAATTCATATGGTCAAAATGGCCATCCTGCCTAAAACAATCTACAGATTCAATGCAATCCTATTAAAAAACCAACAGCTATCTTCAACAAACTAGAACACACAATTCAAAAATTCATCTGGAACAACAGAAGACCCTGAATACCAAAGCAATCCTGATAAGGAAGAATAAAGCTGGGGGATTATGCTCCCTGACTTCAAGCTCTACTAGAAAGCCACAGTAATCAAGAAAATTTGTTACTGGCATAAAAACAGACCCATATATTGATAGAACAGAATAGAGAGCCCAGATATAAACCCACACATATATGGCCAATTAATATACAATAAAGGATCCATGGGTATACAATAAGGAAGTGACAACCTCTTCAACAACTGTTGTTGGCAAAACTGGACAGCTACATGCTAGAGAATGAAACTGGATTATTGTCTAATTCCATATACAAAAGTAAACTACAAATGGATCAAAGACCTGAATGTAACTCATGAAACCATAAAACTCTTTGAAGAAAACATAGGCAAAAAATCTCTTGAATATAAACATGAGCAACTTTTTCCTGAACACATCTCCATGGGCAAGGGATACAAAAGCAAAAATGAACAAATGGGACAACATCAAACTAAAAACCTTCTGTACAGCAAAGGACACCATCAGTAGAACAGAGCCATCCTACAGTATGGGAGAATATATTTGTAAACAACATATCTGATAAGGGGTTAACATCCAAAATACATAAAGAGCACACATGCCTCAACACCTAAAAAGCAAATGGGCAGAGGATCCGGACACTTCTCCAAAGAAGAAATTTGGATGACCAACAGGCACATGAAAAGATGCTCTACATTGCTAATTATCAGGGAAATGCAAATTAGAACCACAATGAGATATCCCCTCACACCAGTTAGGACGGCTAACATCCAAACGATAAGCAATAACAAATGTTGGGAATGATGTGGAGAAAGAGGAACCCTTCTACACTGTTGGTGGGAATGTAAATTAGTTCAACCATTGTGGAAAGCAGTATGGTGGTTCCTCAAGAAACTAAAAATAGAAATACCATTTGACCCAGGAATTCCACTCTTAGAAACTTACCCTAAGAAATGAAATAAGATCACAGATTCAAAAAGACATATGTACTCCTACTTATCACAGCAGTATTTACAATAGCCAAGATATGCAAGCAACCTAAGAGTCCATCAGCAGATGAATGGATAAAGAAGATAATGGTACATACACACAATGGAATACTATTCAGCCATAAGAAGAAAACAAATCCTGCCATTTGCAACAACATGGATGGAGCTAGAGGGTATTATGCTCAGTGAAATAAGCCAACAGTAAAAAGACAAGTACCAAATGATTTCACTCATTTGTGGAGTATAAAAAAGCAAAACTGAAGGAACAAAACAGCAGCAGACTCACAGACTCCAAGAAGGGACTAGTGGTTATCAAAGGGAAGAGGTAAGCAAGGGTGGGTGGGGAGGGAGGGAGAATGGGACTAAGGGCCATTATAATTATTACACATAATGTAGGTGGGTCATGGGGAAGGCAGAACAGCACAGGGAAGACAAGTAATGACTCTATAGCATCTTAATATGCTGGTGAACCATGAATGCAATGGAGTGTGTGTGGAGGGGGATTTGATAATATGGGTGAATGTAGTAAGCACAATGTTGCTCATGTGAAACTTCATAGGATTGTATATCAGTGATATAATAATTTAAAAAAAGAATCTGTGATGCATATAAATAATGCAATATTCACCATAAAAAGTAAATAAATCTTGCTCCTTGAGATAATATGAATGCACTTAGAGGGTTTTATCCTAAGTGAAATGAGTCATTGAAAGATAAATACCATATGTGGAATCTTACAAAAAAATGAGCAAATAAAACAGGAATAGGCATATAAACACCTGAAAGTTATGGCTGGTTATCTTGGGTTTTGGAGGTAAAATACATGAAGGATAAAGAGGTACAAACCTCAAACGATAAAACAATTTAGTCACAGGGATGAAAGTATACCATAGGGAATATAGTTCATTATTTGTAATATCTTTGTATGGTGACAGATGGTAACTGCACTTATGGTAAGCATTTCAATGTATGTATTTGATGAATCACCAAGTTATTCATCTGAAACCAATATAATATTGTATATAAACTGTATTTCAATAGAAAGAAATAAAAAAAGAAAAAGTTGAATGGTGATTAACAGGAGCTTGTGACTAGAGAGAATAGGGAGGTAGTCTTAATGAATATGGGGTTTCAGTGCGGGAAACTGAAAGTTTGGATATGGTTTCACAACAGTATGAGTGTACTTAATGCTACTGAACTGTACACTTAAATGCTGTAAGTGGTAAATTTTTGGTTATGTATATTTTTCCACAGTGAGAAAAAAATATCCCAAACTGAGATAATTTGATGATGAAACACAAATAATGGCTTATCTTCAGAGAGAGAGAAAGAGTAAGTCAGTTCTGTGTATACTGGTATGGAACAATGAATATTTAAAAGAGAAGAGTAAAGGCAGGAAAATGTAGATAACATGCTACCATTAGATAAATTATAGAATGTGCACATGCCTCTAGAAGAGCCAAGATGGAGGCATGATAGGAATAGGGCAGTGGAGTAGGGCAGTGGAAATCTCCTCAAAAAAACCATATATACTTTTGAAAATACAATGAATACAAATACAACTATTCCTAAAAGAGAGACAAGTGGATACACTACACCAGCCAGGCTACATCTACATCTGTGAGAACTCGGCATCTAATGAAGGGGATAAGATACAAGCTGTGGCCTGGTAGGACCCAAGTGTTCCCCCCACCCCAGCTTCCCAGTGGGAGGAAAGGAGTTGGAGTGGCCCAGGACTGCTAAATAACCAACTCTAGTAATCCGCACCGGGGGTACAAACACACACTGAATGGGGTGCTGGATATTAGAGAAATGGAAAAGTAAAATCTACGACTGGGTCCCTGCAGCTGGCTCCCCCGGGTCAAAGGAAAAGCAAGTGCTTTTTGAAATTCTTAAAGGGACAGAGGCCTCACAGCTGGATGGAAGCATCCTGGCACACTCAACCCAGCAGGCTGGGAATACTGAAGACCATTGGGCGCCCCAGCCCCCTGGTGGCAATGCACCCCTGAAGGCCCTCACAGTGATAGGCAGCCTGCCAATTGTTCTCCAGGCCAGCGTGGCCCTGACACAGTGGCTAAGAAGCTGGAGAGCGGCCGTGCATGCCTGCGGCGGCTGAACACCCAGAGAGTGGCAGCGCATGCCTGCAGTGGCA